CAAATGATCTGAAAAATTCACACCCTAGATTCAAAACCAAAAACATGCCACATAGAAGAAAAAACTAATCAGCAACAGAAACTCACACTCTATTAGGAAAAAAAAAATCTATTCTGCTTTATGTGTCGCAGGTTTACATATTTTGATGTAAGATAGAAGAAATGGAAATATTCACAAAAATATGTAGTTGCAGAAAGTAACGATCAGAAAAATTCCATGAGATTGGTGTTGAGTCTAAAAATCCTTTAGCATACTACACCAGTGACCCTCAGATGGGGGGTTTTCAGGTCCAGCTGCTCAGAAGTCTCAGGTACACTGTCAGCAGATTCTAGGGTGGAGGCAACAAATAACATGTGTTTGGGAGCTCACACTAGAAAGAAAACGTATATCCTCCCTGGATCATTCCGTGTCACAGCAATTTACTCTTTACTGCTTTCCTCCAGACAAATAAAGGCAAATTTCGGCTGTCCGCTCCAAAATTCTGGGTTGGTAAGACCGAAAACAAAGTAGTATTACCTTTGAAGTTTTGATTCTATGTTTTCTAAAATGTGCCTGCATTATCATTTTCCAATCCTGGCTGTATGTACCCACCTACATACCAGTTATGGAACACATTACTATTTTGAAAGATTTGAGACTTTGAATGGCTATGTAAACTCATTGCTATATAGCAAAGATGTCTAAAATCCACTGTTGAGAACCCTTGTAGAAACTGGCCAGGGTTGAGGAGATTCAAAAGCAGAAATTTAGATCACACATCTATAAAATTCATTTTATTTTTCAAGTCCAATTAAATGCTGCTTGTAATTGAATTTTATGTGTAGGAGTGGTTTTCCTGCATGTATGTATGTAATCACATGCATGCCTGTCATCCTCAGATCTCAGGAGAGTGTTGGATCACCTGGGACTGGAGTTAGAAATGTTTATGAACCACTGTGTTGAGAATCAACCTGGGGAATCTCTGAAACAGTGACAAGTATTCTTAACTGCTGAGCCATCTCTACAGCACGAAATGGTGTTTTTAAATTAAAATTTATTTATGAACATAGTACTTATTATCGAGGTTGATTGAAAGTCCTGAGTTACTGAGCCATGAACTCTGAGAGCCTGGCTTTGACTCTCTCTCTCTCTCTCTCTCTCTCTCTCTCTCTCTCTCTCTCACACACACACACACAAAAAGCAGCAGTAACTCAGGAGTTTTTCTGTACAGACTACCTTCATGAGCATTTGTTCAGGATATCTCAAGGACTCACACATATCTCTAAGTTTTCAGAAAGTCCAGCTAGGATCTGATGTGATTATGCCAGTTATAGTAGCAATGCCAGAGTGGTTTAAATGAGATGTCCCCATAGTCTTGGGCATTTGAATACTTGGTCTCCATTTGGAGATGCTGTTTATAGAGGTTTGAGAGCTGTGGCCTTGGGGAAGGTATGTCACCGGAGGCAGGCTTCTAGGGTTTAAAGATGCTATTTTGACTGGGATCTCTCTGCTTTATGCTTGCAGCCACCTGGGACTGTGAGCTAAAATAGACCCCTTTCTCCCTTAGGGAGGTAGCTCTCAGCTTGCAGCTCCATCTGCCCTATCTCTGCTCTGCCATCATGGACTCTTTCCCTTGTCCTTCTGGAAACATACACCCTTATAAAGCCTTTCTTCTCTAGGTTGCTTTAGCCATGGTATTTTATCACAGCAACAGAAAGTAACGAATACTACTCTCTCAGGCTTGCTGTGCCCCCATCTTGACGCACTTCTGTTTGCCTGCCACTGAAAGGGGAAATGGGAACCTGTTTTTTGTTTTTTTTTTGTTGTTTTCATAGTGGATATAATTCCTTTTTTTCCCCTAAAAAAACAAATGGAGAAAAAGGTAATTATGGCTCCCTGATAATTAAAAATAACATGGGAGGGGATAATACCCCATGATGTTTTAAAAACAAGAAACCAAAGTGGAAGTGGATGTTAGGAAAAGGTCCCAGTATGAGCAAAGCCTCTCATTCCAACTTAAACCACAAGGAAAATGAATCCTAATTCTTTGAAATGTGTCCTTGTAGAAGGTGAGTCTGACTGTAATGTCTTCACATTACTCTAGTATTTGTATCATATGACCTCCTAATTTAATCATCTTTTGTCTGAACTCTTCTAGCAGCCTCCTCACTGGTCTCGCTACAACTATCTTATTTCTATTTCGTCTACCTTTCAGAGAGCAAGGAAGAGTAACTAATACAAACCTAGTCAGGTCATTCCATCAATCTAGAACAGAAAATGGAAAGGGAACAGAACTTTGCATGGGCTCTGATACAAAATAATAACTCTATCTTATACAAAAATGTGACTCTATAACACAATATATAACATACAATATATGTAATATATAACATTACCAAGTCTTTTGGGGGAGTTTATATGAAATGAAATAGCTGCTGAAACAAGAGTGTTCACACATTTTAATCCCTATTACTCTAAATTTCAACTAGACCCCTAAGCTAGGGACATGTAGCAACAATCCTTCCAGATATTTAAGGAGTTCATAGTGGCAGCTAAATTTCCTGATGGAAACACAGATCTCAACCAAAGATGAACAGCCTCTGAATACATGATTTACTAGAAAGAAATTGTGACTGAGAGGCCACCCAAGAAGCAGTAAGAAATTCAACCAGTGTTTCCTAGGATGTGTCTTAGCCAACTAAATTCAGTCAAATTAAACAAATGTTTGATGAATGGGACAGGGTATGGCAAAAAAACCATGACTTTAGAAGTCAGTTGGGAAATGGGGTTACTCAAGACTGTTATTTTGGGATGTGTTAGTATCAAGAAGTTCCTAAGGAGCCTATCTCTGATTTGAAATACATTTGTAAGTCCACAATGTACTGACTCTATGAGATCATTGAGACCATCTGAGACTTTTACTTGATATAACTATCAATTCTTTAATGAACTTTAATGTAAGGACATCAAGCCACTAAGGGAGAAACAATACAACCCAGGATTTGAATACCTAAAGTAAAACATCACCTTTTATAATAAAAACGCAGACATTTATCTCCAGGACCCATACACTTAATAGGTAGTGAAGAGAAAACTGGAAAAATAAGAATCAAAATGAGAATTTAAACTTCTTCGCTTCTCACCTGTCAACCTGAGGTGCCCACAGCATGTGCTGAAAGGAGTGAGAAAACTCTTTGTGTTCTCTACATCAGCCGTTATGTAGTGGGGGAAATGCAAATGTGTTTTCACAATTTAGGGTAGCGGTGACACCGTGTGTGTGCCTCCTGTGGACGCCCCCCCAGACAGAACTCAGGGAGGAGGAGTGACATGCCAGAGATGATCCGGCTAGCACATGGCAGAAGCAGCTTTATTTTTCTTTTTCTTTTTGGTTTTGGAAAGAGGGTCGGGCTGGCCTCAGAATCTGTGAGCCTCCTGACCTGCTTCAGTTTCCAGAGTGCTGGGTTAGAGTGTGTGTGCCCACGCCCAACGAGACACCAGTTTTAACTGAGGGCTCCCTGAACAGACCACAAAATATACAACAAGACTCTTAAGCGTTTTATTAGTATAGAGTGGGAAAGGGAGAGGGGGGTGTGCACAGGCCTGTCTGGAAGACATCTGTGGAGAGAGAGTCTACTTTTAAAGGTTGCTCACCCCCATTCGTACAGGGTCTTATGTAGCCACACCACGCAAGAGCATGTTACATAAGGCCCTGGAGTGACTAGGCATTTTACTTGAATGCTGATGGCACATGTGCAACCAACCAACCCTGGAAATGCTAACACCTGGGATGACTTAAGCATTTGCCTGAATGCCATGCGTGCAGCTGTGGGACCCCGGAAATGTTGGAAATGATAACACCTAGTGCCTTTCCCATGCCATAACTCTGTCTTAATTTTCCTCTCTGTCAAAACATTATCTGTTCATTTAACTTTACTCTTCTAATTCTTTTCCCCACATTATTTCATTCAAATGAGTTAAACTTTTCTCATTGTCTCCAAGCTTGTTAGCTTCACATCTTTTTTTTTTTTTTTTTTTTTTTTTTTTTTTTTTTTTTTTTAGCTTCACATCTTGTTCATGGTTTATAAACCAAGAGAAAGTAGACTTCCTTCCAAGTAGGCACAGCTCTTTTCTCCATGTGCAAGTTCTGAGGAGGCTTTGAGGGAAACAGTGTTCATTTCACAAGTTACTCCAGCAGAAGAGGGAGAGCTTGCTTTACCCTCAGTGGTTCCCAGAGCTCAACAGTCTCACACCTAGGAGGGTCTTGATTTTTTTTTTTTCACCTAAACAGCTTGAAGCAAAAGAGTTTTAGATTTAAATGGTCAACTTATAATATTTCCTATTGAACATAAGAATAACCATCTAAATGCAAATGACTGTTTCCATAATCCTCCCAAGAACACCACTTCTGAGATGTCCTCTTCACAGTGACTTTTTACTAAAGGAAATACAAGTCACAGTGGTAAAAGCACATGACAGATTTCATATAGATATTACATTTCCTGTTAGAGTCAACTAAATTTTGGATCCTATTCTACTTAATACCCTTGCTTTTAACCCCACGCCCCCTTTAGATCCTAAACATTAACAACCAGAGGAAAACTTTATTACATTCTGCCTCAGCACTTCTCAGGAACTCTTGGCAGTATGAAAGCCACATCTTTGTAAACAATATGGCCTTTAATATAGAATTGTAACATTGTAACTTGCAGATAATAAATTTTAAATTGATACACTTTACTTCAGTGTTTCACAAATTTCTTTTAAATTATGTGAGTTTGTGTTCCCATATCACAACAGTGAACCATTAGTATTTCCTCTACCAAGGCAAAGAAAGTACATGGACAGAAGTTAACGCAGTCAATGTTCAGAATGTGAACCCGCATCTGTCTTGTCTCTGGTGCATTGTTAGCTGTGCCATCCTCCTGTTCGACTCCAATGTCAGATTACAGGTATTTGTATAATTTCCTTCATGCTGTTAGAAAGGACAGAATGTGGGAACTACAGAATAAAATGAAAATTACCTCGTTTATCTATAACTGAGTACGAAGCCAAAAATCCTCGTCCAGAAGCATGGATTCCACTCATGAACAGCACTGTGATTTCACTGCCTTTAGATTCAATTGACTGATTCATTTGTAAACCCAGACCACAGTATTTGCCTAGGAATGAAAAAAGCATGTATATGGTGTGACTCTCATAAAGTTAATATAACAATATAATATAATAAGCCAGCTACTAAATTGATGAAAAGAAATTAGTACAACTTAGGTTAGAAAAATCATATTATTCTGGAGGAAAAACTAAATGGCAAGTGATAACTATTTAAATGATTCAAAAGAAAAAAAACAGATTTCCACTGAACTTAGAGATTCAATTTCTATAAAACACACTATAGGTGCCTCAAAACAATAATGAAATAGTTTTAGAAGCAGGCATTCCAGACAGGGTAATAACACAAATAAGTGATTAGTCAGCAGTGTTCTCACAGGGCTCCTTCAGGACCTCCTAGACTCCACACCACAGCACATTCCTCACAATTTCCTCAAACTGGACCCACTCAATGGGCACTCGGGAAACTTCTGATAAAGGTTAGAAATTTCTAGACCTGGATTTTAATGAAACCTGTGCAGCTTCATATGTACTAAAACAAAGTAGACATTTTAAAAACAGGCTAATTTTGTGGTATGTAAAACATACCTAACAGGGTTCATAAAAGAAACACAACGACAATGTTTTCTTGAGTGGAATTATCAGATATAACCCAATGAACTATTTTTATACACAGAAAGAACAGATCACAGAATTAGATACTGTTTCCAGGTAAGAGACCATTAGAGAACTATTCCAAACCCCTGCTCCAACAATGGAAGACTGGAGATCATGGAGATAACTTGAGCCTAAACTGACTACAAGTTAGTGCTGAAGTCAGAACCTTTTTTTTTTTTTTTTTTTTTTTTTTTTGTCATAGAATGACTGACTATTGTATCCTCCCCAAATTCTTTTTGTTTGTTTGTTTTGTTTTTTGAGACAGGGTTTCTCTGTGCTTTGGAGGCTGTCCTGGAACTTACTCATGAAGACCAGGCTGGTCTCAAACTCACAGCGATCCGACTGCCTCTGCCTTCCAAGTGCTGGGATTAAAGGTGTGTGCCACCAATGCCCGGTGTAATGACTATTTTTAAAGTATCATTTTTTCCATCACGAAGTGATTGAGCATTTTCATATTAGGCAAGTAAGTTCACTTATACTTTCTTAATGAATTGACCTGATATCTGCACATTTACAATGAGTAAAAGCTACATGTGAAAGTATACCCTGACATCCTACCTTACACTTCATACAAAGAAATCATCTCTGGAAAAAAAAACAAAACAGGAAAATATCTATAGACGGCTCTAAGAGGAAACCTTGAAGACCCCTTCATAACCAAGAAATGGGCCAAAAATCTATTAAATACAATACAAAAGGACTAGTCATAAAAAAACCAAAGTGCATTACATTAAAATAAAGTTAACTTTATTGCCTGTTTATTTAAAAATTTACCAGCAAGGGAGTGAAATGACAGCCCAAGAAAGAGAGGAGATATTTGCAGTGTACATGCCGGAAAGGAACTCATAACTGGGCTATATTTATAGAACTCCTACAAACAAATAAGAACACAAACAAAACCAGGAAAGCCAGGTACTGGGACACATGTCTGCAGCCCTAGCCACTTGAGCAGCCTCAGCAACATACTGAGATACTGGAAAAAAAAGAGGTGGGGTTAACCAAAAGAAAAAGTACAGGAAAACTGACACTTTTCACAAAAGAAAGCATTCACCTAGTTAACAAACAGAACAGTGCACACAGGAGCCATCATGGAGACACAAACCAGATTATAATGCAGACTGCCTAGAGAGCAACAGTAGTCAAATTAGCTGTAGTGGTGGGAGATACAGGGGTGCAACCACCGATGCCTCTGGTGATGTCTAGGAGTCTAAATGTTAGCAACAGATGACCCCTAAACTCTTCTTCTAGGTACAGAAATGTGTGCTGAGTTCAGAGTGGATGGCTATTAGTTATCTAAACCTGCTCACACCACAGATAAGTTTCCAAGTTGTCTACCTAATGGATACTGCTAACACTGTAACAAACATCATTCTTACACTTCTGTCTGTTAGGGGCTTCAATGCTGACTCTGCAAGAGTACCATCCAAGCCACCTATACTCAGTGCAACATCCTCTACACAAAGCAGCACTATCTCCAACAAACCAACATAAACTCCGAAATTTCAATTTTTTTCCCACTTATCCAAAGCACAGTGAAGGAATGCAGCTGGCTTTCAAGTCTTTGGTTGTTAAGTATAATTGCCTCCTGAAATATTCTCTCTGGGAACTGCAGCAGACTGGGGCATGCAGATGTACCAACAGGACAGACAAAAGTGTCCTGATGCAAAGGTTATAGCATCCAGAGGGATCAAAGTGTCCACTAAATGAGACTGATTTGCCCCATCACACTCTGTGGAGTAGACGCTGCCCCTCTCTTGTGAAGCTTCCACTCTAACAGTGACTTAAGAGGTATTTTCTGAGCCTGGCAAGATGGCCCAGCAGGTAAAGGTATTGTTGTCAAGTCTGATGGCCTGAGTTAGGTCCTACACATTCACATAGTTGAAAAAGAAAACAAATCCATGTAAGTCCTCCTCTGACCTCTGTGCACATGCGTGTACATACACACCCACACCCACACACACACACCCACACATGCATGCACGAACACTAGCCTATGTGCACACACAAATAAATGTAATTATTTTATGAAAGCCAGTTTGGAGGCACATGCCTGTAATCCAGTACTTGGGATGCTGAGGCAGGAAAATCAGTCCAACCTTGAGGCTAACCTGGGCTACATTATTAGACCCTGCCTCTAAAGATCAAACAAGAAAGAGTTGTCTTCTGGAAAATTAACAAACTTCTGACTAAAAGTGAACTTCACATTCTGTTTGAATTTCTTGATAAAATCTCCCAAAAAGGTGTTGCTTGAAGGTCCTGGCTCTTCTAAAGCTCACAGCTTCTATAAAGATAGTGAGAAGTCTCCATGACAACCAAGTTAGTCTAAAAAGCAGAGGAACATCACATATAAAACCAGACCTGTTGCTAAGCAACAGGGAAGCATGCATAGCATGCTCATCAAGAAAGCAATCTCAAAGCTTTTCTAGAAAAATAAACTTTTGTGGGTGATATCAAAACTTTGAATAATCCTTAAGAAGACACACAAATGAAACAAGCCATACCTCAAATGCATAACATAACCACACAGAAGGTCTGGAACAGAAGAGGGAAGGGGATTTCTTTCTTCTTCTTTTTCCTTTTTTTTTTTTATTTTTTTTTTTATTTTTAAAACACAGTGGGCAGACAGCATTCCCTCAGGGGAAGACTCCAGACAAATAATCCTAAGAATCAGTCTCTCAAAGGTAATGCCACCCTGTAGCCCACACTCCAGGATCTTACTTAAGACATTATGAGAGTTTTGCTTTTGTAAATCCATTGTGCAGTTCTAGAATATGAACTTTGTTAAGGATAATGTCATTTGAAAGTGTCAAAAAGCTAAACACTCCCAACAAAGTAAGGCTCCAGTAATTCTTAACTTTCTGGTTTGAGCACTGAACAAAAGGACAAGGAGAGCTAGAGAGAAGTGTGTTACAGTTTACACAGAAAAGGATGGAATGAACCATCTAATAAGTGTTGGATAAAGATTACAAATCAGTATGAACTCAACATGTTTAATAAATACAGTTAGAGAAACAAAAAAGACGTAATGTATACATACAAGTCTTTACGGATACATGCACACGCAGATTGATGCATACCCACACATCAGTCACAAAGTCTGTGTTTAGAGGGTATGGCAGCCCACCATTTCAGACCTAAAAAAAGATACTGGTTTCTAATTACAGTCTACATTGACCAACAAAAGACTTCTTAAAAAAATAATAAACTGTAAGATCTAGACAAGATAAATCTATTATATTCTATGTCTTACATTAAGGATTAAAAAAATCAAGAAGTATATGCCAAGGCTTAATTTTTTTTCTTATTCTATATATAGTCTACAGAGATAGAATTCAGATCTGGAAAGCCACTTTACACTCTATCATTAAACACACCACATGTCCATCAATGTTTCTATTCAGAGTACTATAGTGAGTTATTCCAAAAACTTCACAGTTCAGCAACTCAGAAATCAAATAATGCCACTAATAGCATATAAAAGAAAAGACAAACTGCCCACCTGCAAAGTAAACCAATACCTTGTCAGTTGAACACATCCTAAGGAGTTTATGATTTAAGACATCATTCCTCTAGGAACTCTACTTTTATTTATTTAACTGATTATACCAGACCACTACTTCTTAGGGAAAATAAAATTAACACTTATAAAACCCCAAACCTAATTTTCAGTATCAAAATGGGTGCTTGTTACAGAGAAATGTATTTGGGCCTGCCTCTGTTCTGAAGGGGCAGTGAGACAAGACTAGAAAGGATAAAGAACTTAGAACCTCTATCATTGGAACCTTGAAGCCTCTATGTCCTTCTTTCTTCTGTAATCCATTGACCAGAATGTTATTTTGAAGTGATCACTTCTTTGTGATGGGTCAGGAAACCCATCCCTCCCACTAACTATAGACCATGTGGCAACGGAGGATAGGTGCATGTCACTGCTCTGAGGCAGTGGGGCCCTCAAACTGAGGTGCAGCAGGGGCCCTCTGATCTCCCTGAAGCTTTGTACCTTGTGCAAAGGTGGAGGTGGGTAGAAAAAAAAAAAAAAGAATGGGAAATAAAAGATAGCTGATACCATTAAATACCTATCACATGCCTGTAGGGTCAGATATGATTCCATCCACTCCTTTAAAAAGGTATAGATGACTAAAATCTGGGCAGGTTCACGCTGGTGGGAAGGACTCTTACAAGGAGCTTCTGGAGTACTGGTTAGACAGAACAGTGTTAAACCGTGCCTCCAACGTTTCCAATGCCACGTTCCTCCCTAGTCACAAGATCACGACTCATTTCTCAAATACAGAATTGACTTGTTTTATTAAAAAAAATACCAACATAAAAACTTCCAAAAACACACACAAATATTAGAATGTTAGCTCCCAATTGACCCTTTTGTTTGGCTTACCTTCCCTCCCCCCAGCACCTTTTCTTAAAGAAATACTTTTAAACCAGTTTTACCTCTAAAACAATCATTCTTTATTATCAGTGAATGACCAATACCTCCCAAATTTCTCTACCTTTTTAGATACCACATTAAGACCCAGGATTCAGATGACTCAGGCTGATCTGACCTGAAAACCTCATTCCTATGATGCAGCTTTCAGAAAATACTATGCAAGCTGTCAAGGGAACAAAGCAATGAGACGGTCCCACCCAGATGCAACATCTATGAACCAGGGCAGTTACAGCATGTAAGACATGCATAGAGGTATAACACGTATCACTCACATGTCTGTGACAGCCAACAGCTGTCTAATTGAACATACAGCCCACTCAACAGGAGGGAAATCATACCTAGCACTGGAAAGCTAGCCAGCTTCCTGAGGAGAGTGAGATCATGGGTCTTAGAAAAGAATGCACCATTGCCATATTGCTAAACCAGTGTGATTCCTGACTCCATTCTGTATCTTATTCTTACAACCACAGATAAGTGTAGCTACCTCTTATCAAAGAAGTCTCTCTTTATGGGAAATGGATATTATCATAAAACCCATAGCTGGACAGCATGTGGACATCAAGGGATTGTGCTGTGGGGAGTTCAGCCCCACTAGTTCCATCTACCTGACAGCCCCTGCATCTATGGCTCAGGAAACACTGTGGAGGATGGGGCAAATAGGTTCTAAGAGCCAGAATACCAGGAAGAATGTGGTGAAACAGTCTTTCTTAGAAATGGCTGCACAAACTAGGCCAGAGCAATGGAAATATCAATGGATATTTTAATGTGGAAGGGGAGAGATTTTGTGTATGGGGGTCTCACTCCAGACAAAGAATTTCAGGCTACACTGACTGCTGAAAGGAGGAAAATTAAGCTCTCCCAGGGATGAGGACCCTTATTGGTTATCCAATTCAGAGTAGTCAGCACTGAAATCATATACGTGCAAACAGAAAACCTCAGACTCAACAGGTTACACACACACACACACACACACACACACACACACACACACACACACAAATAAAAGAAAAGAGGTTATCTCCTAGAGTGGCGGGTACATGATAGGGGCTGGAGGGAGGAAAGAGAGAGAAGTGATGAAATTCTATTTCAATTAACATATTAAAAACAAAAATGTAAACAAAATTTAACTGAAAAAAACATCTTTTTAAAATTAGTTATCTTCAATCAGAATAACAATGACCCAAACATTTCTTTCAGCCTCCTTCTCCTTCCCATTTCCTCTTCCTCCTCCTTTTTCTTTTTTAAATGCTATTGTATGTGGACCAGATGAAGCCATTTGTTTCTCTAGAACCTTCCCATTAACTTAGTCCTTAGTGAGTATGTATAATTTATTTTCCATCTCTTCTATTGCCTATAAAGCGGTAGGCTGCCATTCCCTTTTCACTACTGTTTAATGTGTTCCCAGAGTACTACTGTCTACTCCTCTGAGTCCTCAGAAGGCACTATCCACACACGTCTTCCACTAGTACTACATTCACAGCTGGTCTAGGTTCTGACAACCTTTCCAATGTCAGATGCTGATGGTATGCAGGAGCTACTCAAGCTACCAGGTCAATCAAGACTTTTCAGGGTGACCACAGAGGTTACCAATCAGTAGCCAGCAAATGGGTTGGGATGAAGACGAGGCTGGAGATGGAGAGGTCAGTGGATGACCACAAGCTGGATAGTCAAAGAACAAGACACCGGCTTCCTATTATAATTCTGCAAACTACTGTATGTATTGATTCCAATAAATGCTTCCAAATAAACTCAGAGAAGTCAAGAGAGTGCTTTACTTTGAGTCAGTTCACTAAAACCTTTATAAAGTTTTCAACTTTCTTAAGAGAACAGTTCTGATCTCTAAGCCAAACTTAAAATCTTGGCGGCAAAGTCAATTTTCCTGGAGAGCTTTTAAAACTCCGAGGCTTCCGTCTCACACAATCAATTTCAATCTGTTGGTCTCGGATGGAAAGCAGGTCCACGGTCTGTTTTTAAGTCTCCCAGGTGACTCTGTTCACACAGCTCTAATTGAGAACCACTGCTCTCACACTGGAAATACAGTCACTGTTACATTCTCTGCTACGCACGCCACACCATTCCAGGCACTTTGCATATACACATGTGTGAGAAAACAGGTTAGGTGCTCTCAACAGATTATAGCTGGCTAACAGCAGACTGAGGCTTTAATCCAAAGCAGTTTCAATTCTAAACCCACGATCTGCATGCTACACTTCCTCCTAAGTAAGCATGAATTTTATCTGTACCCTCTGACTATAAATAAAATGATCAAAGGAAAACATAAAAAAAATAAGAGAATTGACTTCTACCTTCTTAGAAGCAGCACAGGGGCATCCTGCATGAACGTAGCATGAGGGTAACCACGCATATCTTGCAAGAAGGTAACCATGCACATTTTGCATGGAGCTGTAGCCAAGTGCATCTTACATGAAGGCAACTATGTGCATCTTGTATGAGGGCTGCCACGCGCACCCTGCAAGAAGGTAGTATATGCATCTTGCAGAAAGGTAACTACCTGGCATCTTGCAGGAAGGTAACCGTGTTCATCTTATAAGGAGGGAGCTTCGTCTGTCTTGTACTAAGGTAGCAATGTGCTACTAAGCACATGAGAATCTCCCCTTCCCAAAAGAAGATTAGATTTGAGATTTCTACATTTCCTATAATTTCTCACACCATTGTATTCAATATTAAATATCAAAAAGTTTCAGTTTTAAAACTTAAGGGAATGATATATAACATACATCATGTCCTACCTATTTCCGTTCTGCTGACTCCAATTCCATTATAGATTTTCAGGTAATTAAAGTGACAAGAATCAGAATCTTCAATGTCAAAGTCACCAAATTTGATGCGAATTCTTTCTCCCATCTTTACTCGGATCTCCCATTCACACACGGTGCTGTTAGGATAGGTGTGTGGGTAGTTGATGGATGTGAGGGTTCCACTCTCAGGGCCTAGCACAGTGTGTCCACATCCATCACCTTAAAACAAACAAACAAACAAGTAAATTATTCTCCCACCTTAAGCTTACATGTAATCAGGACTTTTACAGACTTATAGCAATGTATGAGATCACATATTTTATACAGCCAGTACTTCCTTCACAAAGTATACAGCAGATGACACAGTTCTGGGCACATCTACTCATGCAAGGAGCCCACAAATCAAGTTAGGTCAAAATCAACAATGTAACAATTAAACTTAATATCATTTATAAGTACAAAGGACTTTCCATTTGGACATACAATTATATAGTAGTTAAATATGTACTGTAATAAATCCTACCACTAAGAGAATATCAGGATGTATTATAGTAAACATTGAAAAGTAAATATGAATGACTTACAAATACCAAAAGCTGCTAAAGACTCTGTGAGCAGCAGCAGGATTTCTAGAAAATATTAATGCATACTATGATGTCCCAGACTACTGGCCGTCTTATGGACAAGGCACTAAGGCAAGATTTGATGACATTTAACTCTACATTCCACTGAGATCAAATCAGACTGTCTAACTTCTCCTCCAAAATCTTATCTCTCTCAGAATAAAAAAGGAAGAAACAAAGTGTTAATAGCTTACTGAAGAGTAGGAAAGAAATGGCTTTAATAGCAACAGGAGTACTCTGTTTCAGAAAGTTCTTCCGCAAGTGAGCATTAAAGATTTTTTGGGTTTTTTGTTTGTTTGTTTGTTTTGTTTTTAAAGAATAGAAAGGTTTTATTTTAGCTAACAATTCCAGGTTACAGTCCATCATAGCAGGGAAGCCAATGCAGCAGTAACTTAAAACAGCTGGTCATATCACAGCTGTACTCAAGAGCAGAGAGAAATGAATGCATGCATGCCTACTGTAAGCTAACTTTATTCCTTTATACTGTTCTCCATTCAAGCCCAGGGCATGGTGCTATCCACAAGAATACAAAGGTTATTGCCTTTCAATCAACACAATCAAGATAACCTCTCACAGGCCAACCTGATCCAAATAGTCACTCTTTGGATCTGTCACTCTTCTCAGGTTGTTTCTATATCGTGTCAAGTTGAGAATTAAAAATACCTAACCATCTCACACGGGATTTTATATCCTGCTAAGCTTTGGTGGGCTTGGTTCAGCATCCAGTGTGACAAATCCCTTTGGGTTTGTATTTGAGAGTTGCTTATATCACTGCTTAATGTTCTAGGGTGCTTGCTGTTGGCCACATGCTAGACTATGGCCCCAGAGTGTTGAAAATAATCGAGTTTCAAGTTCTCCAACATCACCACCCCCACCTTTCACATCCTAACTTTCCTCAGTCACATAAAACTACTGAGACTCACATTTCTAAGTGAATATACATATTAGACCACTAACTATGTCTGAAGAACTTTCTAATAGTTGATGGCTGGGGTTAATAAAATCCTCAATATGTACATTATTTGAGAAACGATAATTAGAAAGTTATCTTTCTTCTTTCTAATGGAAGACTAGAAAGGTATGTTAGTCTTAGATGTCTGGATACTTTTTCCTTTTTTTAAATTTAAATTAGAAACAAGCTTGTTTTACATATCAATCCCAGTTTCCTCTCCCTCCCCTCCTCCCTTGCCCCCAGCAACCCCCTATCCCATTCCTTTCCTGCTCCCCAGGGAGGGTGAGGCCTTTCTTGGGGGATCTTCAAAGTCTGTCATATCATTTGGAGCAGGGCCTAGACCCTCCCCCATGTGTCTAGGCTGAGAGAGGATACCTCTATGTGGCATGGGTTCCCAAAGTCCATTCATATACTAGGGATAAATACTGATCTATTACCAGAGGCCCCATAGAGTGCCCAGGCCTCCTAACTGACACCTACGATCAGGGGGTCTAGATCAGTCCTATGCTTGTTTTCCAGCTGTCAGTCTGGGGTCCATAAGCTTCCCTTTGTTCAGGTCAGCTGTTTCTGTGGGTTTCTCCAGCCTGGTCTTGATCCCTTTGCTCAGCACTCCTCCCTCTCTGCAACTGGATTCCAGGAGTTCAGCCCAGTGTTTAGCTGTGGGTGTCAGCCTTGCTTCCATCAGCTACTGGATGGATGAAGGATCTAGGATGGCATATAAGGTAGTCATCAATCTCATTATTGGAGAAGGGCATTTAAGGTAGCCTCTCAACTATGAGCATTAAAGTTTTAGTAATAGTATATTGTTTGGAAACATGACATGTTTGCTTCTTAACTTCCTCACAGTTGATTTCCAACTGAGTGTCCAGGTCATTAACTAAATGTGCTCTTAGAAGATTTAGCTATTGCTCCGAGGTAATGTTCAGCATTCAGTAACAGTGGGATTCAGTGAACCTCTTTAATAGAAAGTCAAATGCATCCTTTTAATAATAATTTTTAATTATTATTTAATTATTTAATTATTTATTTAATTATTAAAAACCCCCTTTTAATAATGCGGTTTTCTCCTTTAAAAAAGCTATTCATTATCAGTTTTTAGAATAGTATAGAACTTATAAAAGAAAACAATAAAATTTACACTTCTGGGTTTTAACTTAATTATTATGGAAATGAAGAGCTGTAACAGTTTCTATCATGTTTATTTATTATCTAACAATGAACTGTTGATATAATTTATTAGAACAGATTAAAGATTCTAACAGCCTAGTAGTATGTAGCAAGTAGTAGTTGCCAAGTATGTGTGTATTAACTGGATGAAATAGAGAAAATTCAATTTATCAAGAAGCAGTTTAACTTCCACAAAGGAACAACTGCCTGTCCGAACCCCTTTAACAATACTTGACACAACACATGTCTTCTGCTGGCAAAGTTTTGTTATCTGATTCACAGTAGTACAGCACACTGGTCTACTTTTGACTTTGATACTATAAATCTTGCTCCCTGAACAAACACTTCTCATATAAAGTTTTTCTTCCAGTCAACACTAAACTTTATTTTTGACCCCTGCTTTCATTCATGCATGAGAACTAGGCATAGCTGATTAATAATATATATATAAAAAAGAGAGCTGAGAAGAAAGCAAACATGGTGTGTAACACACCCATGGAATTATTACAATAATAATTTACACAAACAGAAAAACAAAACATCAAGAACCCCTAAAATTTCCTCCTGAAGATACCATAAAATACGGAGAATCTTTTCTGGATGTCATCTAAAGTAAAACCACAAGACTACAAAAACCTTCACTGTGAAAATAAGCAACTAAAATATAAGTATCTTTTGTCCTTAGAAAGGCAAAAACAACTACCCTAAAACAATTCTAAAATTTGAAACTAGGCTGTGATTCCTGGAATTGTTTCAATTTTTAAAAAACAATCCCTTGATAACTAAATATTTCAAAATATACTGTTATTTTTTATATGCAAAAGCAGAAGCAGTGATTGGAAGTGTTGATGGAATTCCGAGAGTCAGCTCCTGACAACTCCTGACAACTTCTGCTTGACTGTAATGCAGCATCTCAGTTCATGTATTCCCTGTAGACTATCATTCAACCTGAGATTGTTATTTAAAATCAATGTTACAAAAGAGTGCAAGCAGAGTGCTGTCATTTTTTAGATGTCTTCATGTGCCTTTTAAAGTTTCAATAAAATTACAACTTGTTTCTTGTCCTTGCCACCATTAAAAACGGTTTAAGGGGTCCTGTGGCAGGCGCCCGAGCCTCAGGTGAGTCTGGGCATGGCTCTGCCTCCCCAACCTCCCCCAGCAACCCCTGCTCGCTTCTGCCTAAGCCCACCTGGGCAAGAGTGGACCTGCCCAGACTGGGAAGGCCCACCCCGAGTCTGGACACACTTCCACCCTTGTCCACCCACTGCCCTCTGCCATCTGGCTGCCACCAGAGTCTGAGAACTCTGCCTGCCACCTGAGAGAGGGAGAGACCCCACCTGCACCCACTGGAAGAAGGGATGGGAAGAGTAAGAACACACTCAACAACAGAAAAGCCAATACGACACCACCAGAATCTAGGGACTCGACACCAGCAAGATCTGAAAAGCCCAACACAGAGAATGAAGAAGAGATGGACCTCAAAAATTATCTTAATAAGATGATAGAGACCTTTAAAGAGGAAATAAGAAAATTACCCTTAAAGAAACAGAAGAAAAAGCAAGCAAAAATTACATGAAATGGAGGAAAAGACAAACCAAAAAATTCAAGAAGTAAACACATCTCTTAAAGAATCTAAAGAAAGCCAGGAAAAAAACAACCAAACAAGTGAAAGAAGCACTGGAAACAGTTCAAGGCATGAAAGCTGAAATAGAAACAGAAGGGATGCTGGAAATAGAAATGCAGGATAAACGATCAGGAACTAAAGATGTGAGTATAACCAATAGAATTCAATAGATGGAAGAGAGAATCTCAGTTGTTGAAGACTCTCTAGAGGATATACAGTCATTGGCCAAAGAAAATCTCAAGTCCAACAAATCCCTAACACAAAATATCCAGGAAATATGGGACACCATGAAAAGGCTGAACCTAAAAATAATAGGTATAGAAGAAGGTGAAGAAATACAGCTCAAAGGTACAGAAAACATATTCAACAAAATCATAGAAGAAAACTTCCCCAACCTACAGAAGGATATGCCTATGAAAGTACAAGAAGCTTACAGAATACCAAACAGACTGGACCACAAAAAGAAGTCCCCTCGACACATAATAATCAAAACACCAAACCTATAGAATAAAGAGAAAATATTAAGAGCAGCAAAGGAAAAAGGCCAAGTAATATATAAAGGCAGACCTATCAGAAACACACCCGACTTCTCAATGGAAACTTTGAAAGCCGGAAGGTCCTGAATAGATATCCTACAAACACTAAGGGAGCATGAATGTCAACCCAGACTACTGTACCCAGCAAAACTTTCAATCACTATAGATGGAGAAAACAAGATATTCCATGACAAAAACAGACGTAAACAATACATATCCACAAATCCAGCACTACAGAAAGTTCTGGAAGGAAAACTCCAACCCAACGAAGATAACTATACTCACAAAAACATAGGCAATAGATAATCCAATTTTAT